GTTAACCTTCAAAGGTTTCAATATATTTTGGAAAACACTGACGACCTTTTCAGGTCAACTTAGAAGATGATAAGTAGACAACAATCTTGTGAAAGTGAGTTTATAAATATTTTTGCTTGATTTTCAGATGGAGTTCATTGATGTTAGTCAATTGTCTTTCATTCACGACCTGGGACCAAAAGGACTGTAAGAATCATTTGTTATCAATATGTCAATTTTTCACTGAAATCTTGCACTTTAAGAAATATGTCCAGTGAAATTCTGAAATTTCTACTCAAAGATGGTGAAGGTGGGGAGTGCAGGTTAAAGCTAATGACAAAATATTTAATCTTGTCTTGCTTTGTATAATAAGGTTCTCCTAACCAATCCTTTCTAAGTATTTTTCCATATTATGAACTGTCCTTTTGTCTTTTAGAGAGGGAATGGTGCTGAAGAGATCCGGCGGCCATCGGATCCCCGGCATGAACTGCTGTGGTCGCAGCAGAATGTGCTACCGCTGGTCCAAACGGTCAGTCAATAATCAGGATTCTTACAGGATGTTTGCTTCGCCTTAATAGTCTTGGTCATTTTCAACGTGAGCTTGTGATATGCCACAAATACACAGCAGCTTAGGTAAAACAGGAAATGACGGGGAAGCTTAGAGACATCTTTACCGGTGCATCACCTCGTCTATGCAGAAGATGCAATGCTGTATTTATTGGCTGTTTAATCTGAGGAAAGGGTTCAATTCTTGGGGGTTCTGAAGTGAAAAGTTAGTACTCGTGTAAGAAAAACATTTGAATCTATCTATGTAGCTGACAAAACAAACGTCCTGAAGATGAGATTTAAATATAAAGCATTTAAAGCAATGTTTAAGTTATGCTATCTTATCTGGAACCTTATCTGTACAAACCTTCCTTAGATTTATACTTGAAATTAGTGTTAAAACACGGTAACGGTCTGCAAATTGTACAACTGCAGTTCAGAATCGTTAATGCCTTGGATACGGAGTAAAATGCTGAAACGTCATTTTAACAGAGCCTCTTATTAATGGCAGGAAAGAAGGGTTAACAGGTAAGTCCACTAAAC